CCCCCAAAACCCCAAAACCCCAAAACCCCATCTTACAATCTTTTAATTGAAATAAATTTAAATCAATGATGCACAAGAATATGGAAACGCCGGCGGAAGGTTCTAATGCTCCAGGGTAATCTTAAGGTGTCTAAGATGATCTAGATCTTTTGATTGGGCTAAGAAGCACGAGAAGGAAGGGAGATCAGACTTTCAAAAATACATCTCAGTCGGATACCACATTACTATTATCATATTTGGGTTTCTCATGCTTCTTCTCGCATGGCTAGCCTACGATTCACTTAACACTTATAGTGATGCTATTGATGACTTCCAAGAGAATTGGGAGACCATTCCTATAGTTGACATCAAGACTTCAACAACTGAGTGTCCTGAAGGCTATGAAAGTCTGATTGATAGAGAATGGCCTGGCACAGTCAGTGGCTGTGACTGTCATCAAGCCTCCTTCGGTTATAGTCATTACAAGGATTTGGATACAGGCCATTGCTCCTCTAATCAAACTAAGGACGGATGTAGAGATGTACACTCTACTCATAAGGCTCCATTGGATAAATTTTATGGAGTAAGGATTTGTGGATATAGAGCAGGAGCAAACTTTGTTCAAATTGAAAGACCATTTAAACTAGCAGGAGAGATTTCCTGTCCAAATGGATATAAGATATGAGGTTCTGGGGATCCTAGTCACATTATCTGTGTTAACCAAGGGGAGCAATGACCTATTAATGATGTAAAGATTTTGATGAATGGAGAAACTCCTGAACCTGGATATCAGACAATAACTCTTGATCACACTTTAGACGTAAAGGATATTTTTGATTAATATAGATCAAACTTGCGTTTACTTCAGATTCCTCTGGTCTTCCAGTAGTCAGATTCAGACTAACAGAAGGACAGGTATGTGCAGATCCAGACATCTACATGATGAGTGAAGGAAGATATCCATATGAACTCCTAAGAAATGAGGATTATCATCAATGCGATAAAGAGGTTGCAGATGGATATTTTGACACAAGATATGAAAATATTGGGTCTGTTAATGAAGAAAGACTTTTGAAAGATAATGGCAAGTTTCTTTTTCCTAATACATAGGTCTTTATGTCCTCCTATCCAACCTCCCTCTCTACCCAATTGAGGATGCTAAGAAATATACCTGGAATTTGTTCTCAAATAGGTACAATTTTTGGAATGCCGAATGCGAATACTATCAAGACATCAATAGGGAGTCAATGATGAATCTATTGGATAGCACATCTGATCAAGCAGAGTATCAGTTAATTTGATAAGATATAGCTTCCAATTAATAGTCCTCATCGTCACTACTATATACGTAAACTCTCTTTTTCACCTATAGGCGATCGTATGCTGTGTTGTGTTAGAAATAATTTCTCTATGTATGATATGCCAAAAGGGCAAGGAGAAGTATAAATTTGTCAATAACCCATAGCTCAAAATTTCAGATGATCTCCTTCGGAACTGTCTTAGTCTTACTCCTAGTCCTAACCTACCTGTTCTGGAACTGTGTCTCTAGTTCAAATGGATTTGAGAAGGAAATGACTGAGATCAGAGAGACTGAATGCTCAAGCAACTATGACAATCTCATGTTCAAGAACTACGGTGATACCTTGGTCAGTGGCAGAAGTTATAATTACTGGGGAATGATATTGGCAGCTCTTTCTTTGGTTCTTACTTTGCTTTATGTGATATTTCAAGTAGTCAAAAACAACTTATTCTCTGTCCAGAAATAAGATAGAAAGTAATAAGATTTCAATAGTAGCCAACAAGATTGGGGTTTTGGGGTTTTGGGGTTTTGGGGTTTTGGGGTTTTGGG